GCCGCTATGTACGCAATATACCATGGCCCCATAGGACTCGAGCGCATTGCAAAGAAAGTGCACTTCCTCACACAGATCCTCAAGTTTGCCGTCGAGCGCCTCGGATTCCGCGTAATCAATGCGTCTTCCTACTTCGACACGCTCACCATTGATGTCTCAAAGCACTGCGCGAATGCTGAAGTTATGCATGCCGCTGCTGCGTTGCAGGGCCTCAACCTCCGAAGAGTGGACAGGAATACTGTTGGAGTCACTCTCGACGAGTCAGTAGGCAAAGAGGACCTCCTGTCCCTCATACGCGCCTTCCACATCGCCGCATCGCAACCAGAGCCCAATCTCGCTGACCTGCCCGCTCCAAAAGAACTTGCATTTCCCCATCAGCTCGTGCGCGAGTCCGAGTTCCTCTCGCACTCCGTTTTCAACAAACATCACAGCGAGACTGAGATGCTCCGGTACATATTCCACCTTGCAAGCAAGGACCTTGGTCTTGTGCACGCAATGATCCCGCTTGGCAGCTGCACGATGAAGCTTAACAGCACGAGCAGCATGATCCCACTTACATGGCCCGAGTTTGGTGGTATCCATCCGTTTGCGCCACACGAGCAGGTTGAAGGATACAGGAAGATCATCAAGGTTTGTGATGTTAACTTGTGGTAGGACAAAGACACTGATCGTTCTTGATAGGAACTGGAAGACGACCTTTGCAAGATTACTGGTTTTTCAGCTTGCTCTGTGCAACCAAACTCGGGTGCTGCGGGTGAATATGCTGGGTTAACTGTCCTCCGGGCATACCATGAATCCCGCGGGGAGGGACACCGTGACGTGTGCTTGATACCCCTTAGTGCTCACGGCACGAATCCTGCGGTGTGTCTCGTATTGTCCTCTTTCCAGTAGTGATAAACTGATGGAGGTGATAGTCGGCTGTGATGGCAGGCTTGAAGGTTGTCCCGGTCAAGACGCATGCAGATGGGAATCTGGACCTGGAAGACTTGAAGGCAAAGGCCGAGAAACACAAAGATAATCTCGCGGTCTTCATGGTGAGTTTTGTTTACATTAATCGGAACTAGAATTCATTCCAGGGCAGATTACATACCCCTCGACGTTCGGTGTCTTTGAAGATGGCATTACCGAAGTACGTATCCTTATCTTTCATACTGATCTGGAGTACTCAATCATACTTCACAGGCCTGCAAGATCATTCATGACTGTGGTGGACAAGTTTACTTGGACGGTGCAAATCTCAACGCACAGGTTGGACTGACGAACCCTGCGGTTTGCGGAGGCGATGTTTGCCATCTCAACCTGCACAAGACCTTTGCTATGTGAGTGCGCAATGACTCGCATTGATAAGTGCTCATACGTCTTTCAGTCCCCACGGAGGTGGAGGACCTGGTGTTGGGCCCATCTGCGTCGCCGAACACCTCGCACCCTTCCTTCCCTCGCATCCCCTGGTCAAGACTGGCGGTGATGCCGCTATCGATGCCATCTCAGCTGCTCCCTTCGGCAGTGCTTCTATACTCCTCATTTCATGGGCTTATATCAAGATGCTTGGCGGCAACGGCCTTTCTGAGTCCACCAACATCGCGCTTCTTAATGCCAACTACATGGCGCATCGACTTGCAGGATACTACAATCTTCGGTTCAAGAATAAAAATGGCCGAGTTGCTCATGAGCTGCTCATCGACCTGGCTGAGTTTGATAAGGCTGCAGGGTTGAAGGTGACGGATTTCGCGAAACGGTTGCAGGTATGTATTCTTAGAATTGGGTGTTGTTGCTGTTGTTGACCGGCGCATCTAGGATTATGGCTTCCACCCTCCTACGTGCTCGTGGCCTATCTCCACCTGTATGCTGATCGAGCCTACTGAGTCCGAAACGCTCGAAGAGATCGATAGATTCTGCGATGCTATGATTCAGATCCGGAAGGAAGCGGAAGATATCATCACAGGCAAACAACCCAAGGATAGCAATCTGCTCAAGAACGCGCCGCATCCGCTTTCTCTCATGGTTGCGTCTGACAAGGAATGGAGCCGGTCGGTGATTTTCAAGGCTGTGTTTCGTAATACGGCTGACGTAGCCCTTCTAGTCCTTATACGCGCGAAGAGGCTGCATATCCCATGCCATGGCTCCGCGAGAAAAAGTTTTGGCCAACTGTTTCTCGTATAGACGATGGTGAGTTGTCTCTCGAGCGGTATCTGAGGCATTGGCTTATTTCCATCATCTAGCCTACGGCGACCTTAACCTTATTGTAAGCAAATGATTTTATAACTCTTCTAAGCTTACCGTTCCTGTTTTCAGTGCGACTGCCCGACAGTTGAGGAACTTGCGTCCTAGTAAACTAATTTTATCATATTACGACCATCTCTAGATGTTTTTTCTTGCTCGATTGTTTTTCTACTCCTCTAGAACACACACTTGTCACGCGTATTGCTCAACCACACGCTTTGTACACCTATACCATTATTATTGTAGTATTTACCATCACGAATAGATTTACGATGATCATTTTGGGTCTACTGCTGTCGCGCGCTCTCTGATAGAATAGCCATCGAGTTCGGTGGGTAACGTATGCCATAGCTGAGGGAGATACCGTTTGATGCGGTCCATCACCTCGTCTTGCTGGTTTGTCCGTGCAGCAAACGAAAGAAGTACCTTGACCGTGTTAACATCAGGCGCAATGTTCGACTGATCTTTCCCCATCTCTAAACACACCACCTTGAGCGCATCGTCAAGCTTCCCAACGCGGCACATGCACTCTATCCACGTATTCCACGTCCGCAAATTGAACTTGAACCCGAGCTTGGTCAACTTCAGACATACCTGTGCAGCCATGGGCCAGGCATTCGCAAACCCACATGCGTCAATGATAATGGCAACGCTCGCTTGATTGAAGCGCCCGGTGATAAAGAGCGTTTCCCAAACGCGGTATGCCTCCGCGAACAGCCCAACGCGCTGATAGGTGTCCATCAATTGGTTCCAAAGTACTGTATCAGGCGTGAAGGAAGGGTCGAGCGTCAGGTGATCATGTGCCCTTCGCACAGCTGCTGCAAGGGCATCACGCTCCTCGGGCGGCAGTTCCCCTGAGAGTAGCGCGAGATGCCGGAGGAGAATAGTGTACACGGGAGCTGCGATCTCAACCCCTCTCGTCCGCATGTCCTTCACTACTTCGAAATAGTGCCACACGGACGGTAATCTTTCGTAGTCTCCGAACGAGAGCTGGGTCAGGGTGTGAAGGATTGCTTGGTAGCCTTTGGCATCGAGGGGAGGCGCATTGGGACGTTTACATATTCGTTTATAGGCCTTCAATGCGTCGTCGAAGCTGGAAGCACACCGCATAACAACGATGGCCAGGGAAGAAACAGCCATCGGGCTGTTGAGTTCAATATTTCTAGCCTCCATGTCTTCAAGGAGGGAAAGCGCAATAGGAAAATACTTTTTGACGTTCTTGGAAGCGCCAAATGCGAGGAATAAGATATTGTAGAGGTTGGCATCTGGGCCCGAGGAATGCCGGCGCCCTGGAGGTTGGAGTTCTTGTTTTGAATGAGAGATAGGAGCAGCCTCAGCAAGGTCCTTGTAGAGTTCTAATGCTCGATCAATCGCAGCATCATCAAGAGTGGTGCAGAGGGCATTGACTATTGGGTGTACTAGGGGTGTACCAGGAGTAATCCCAGCAGACTTGGACTCCTCATAGATCGACAGAGCACCTGTCAGGTCGCCGATACGCACGACATTACTTATCAAGATAGCCCAGTGAATTATGGATGCCTTCAAGTGCAGTTCGGCTTCCGCGTATCGAAGGTACTCGAGGCGGTGTGTATGTCGGATGAGAAGTGTAAGGGTGTGCGAAGAGAGTTTGAAACCGTCTTTCTGCAATGACTTGCACAAAGTTACGGCTGCGGCGATCCCCTTGTTCTCAGCCTCTTTCTCTATGCTCTCTGTCCACTCAATCATGTTGGGATCTGTCGTCCTCGACCTCTTGCTAAAACGTTTCCAATAATTGTCTTTCATCTCCTGAGCTCGATCCGTAAGACCAAGTTTGACAAAACCATCGTAGAGAAGTTTCGCGAAGTTCTCATCATACGTCAATGAGGTATGTTCCATGATATCTAGAGCTTCGTGAATTTTCTTGATCGAAGCACCAGTGTCGAAGAGAGCGTTGAATAAAATTTCAAAAGTTTTGATGGTGGGACGACGTCCAGAACGATGCATCTTGGAGACGCTGTGCTGAAGTACCCCCACCTGGCCAGATTCAGCACACCACTCGAAGAACATGTGCCATTGTAAAAGCGTAGGCGTTATATTTTTCGGCTTTTGAGGCATGTTCATAAGCCAGTTAAAAATCGTTTGAGGGTTGCCATTTGCGATCAGGCCACGAAGGATGACATTGTACACCTTCACCCCCACTTCGACACCGCAAAGTATGGGGAAGTCGACGAGAATTTTCATCATCATATCCAAATCATGGTGCCTACCCGACTCGGCTAGTAATGATAGCACATCGTGGATCTCCTTCTCTTTGAGGGGTGGAGCCGTAGGTTTATCCTTCCTTTCCTCGCCCAACACGCGAAATAGGCCGTAAAACTGCTGGTGTAGAGCACCAACATTTGCTATGGGGATACACCGCCGGATTTTGTCAACAATGGCATCGATGTCTGGGATGTAGGAAAGGGAGGGGTCGTGTTTGACGGTCAAGAATCGTCTCTGGTCTCTCTTGACGCGAAAGGCGGGTGCTGCACGACGTAAAGTAGATGGCCTCGAGACGGAACGGGTGAAAGGACCTGCAGGATATGCTAACCGGGCAACAGCGCGGCTAAGGGACATTCATGCGCGCTCAGATACCTGCGCTAATAGTTTTGCCTGTCAGATGAAATATGGACGGTCAGTGTCTGATTCCACATGATTTCAGTCCAGCCGTACCAACTTAGTAGTTGCGGTAAAGTGTCGTGGGAAATATATTGGAAGACGTGGTCAAGCACTTCGAACACATTTCTCACTTACCAACTACCATGTCTGAAAAATTGAAGGAGTTCATTGATATTCCTCAGCAGTTCATTCGCGACGGCAACCAGGTTAGCATCGCTGAACTCTGAATCATGCGTGAAGTTTGCTGACTTGTCCTGCTTGTCAGTTCCTTACACGTTGCACGAAGCCATCGCAAAAAGGTGCCTTTTGAGTTTCATCTAATACACCATATGGTGCTGAAAGTACAATTACAGAGTTCATCCAGATCTGTAGGGCAGTCGCTGTTGGCTTTGCTGTTATGGGTTTCATTGGATACTTCGTAAAACTCATCCACATCCCAATGTGCGTCTTCCACGTTGTTCCTCATGCTTCGCAAACTGATATCGGTTTTCTAGAAATAACATTCTTGTGTACGTGATGCTCTCTTTTAAAGTGCTCCTTTGTGCTCATGTTTGGACAGCGGAGGGGCATAACTTACTCATCTCGTTAATATGTGTTCCATTTTCGCGTGTCGTATACCTTCGGCTCGGTTGGACAGGCGCTCTGTATCGTATCTCCTTTCCTTCATCCACGCATTCCGTGCAGTCACTTGCTAAATGATAGGCCTTTATCGGACCATATATTTGTCCAGAGAATGTTGCGATGCGATCCCCCATGGTCCTGTTTGGTAAGTCACTTTGCGTGTAACGCACAATGACGAATGTGTGCTTGAGACAAATACACGCGAGTCTCGTCTGCTATGGCTCAACTGAAGTGGCGTGCAGTAATGAATTTGAGGGAGCAGAACGAGCATTCGGTATCTCTGGTGCTGCTCCAGCCAGCTTCTGCGTACGCAGACAAGGGAGCCAAGCGTAGAGCATATCCTGTTGTGTCCGTCAGAACTCGTTCGTGCCAACTCACTCTCCTACCTTTTGTAATCCAAACACGAGTGCTGAGGCCAAAGGGACTGCAGGCAACAAAATCATTAATACTCCAAGCCCGCATTATCACAAATGAAGTTGAAAACTGCTCACAAGCTGCAGGGATCATATAATAAGTCCCAGCTATGGGCTGCTTGGTCAAAAATATAATGGCTGCCCTAGTTGGCCATGAGTACATCACAAATCTCGCACGTAATCTTCCACGCACATTAGAGCCACCCACGAATACAAGCAAAACAGGCCAACTCTGAAAATGAATGCGGTTGAAGGTCGCCTAGGCGCTAGGAGCGGGAACGAATTCTTGATACGTTTCCATCTATGGTAATATTGGATGGCGATAGCAGCTGAGAGAATACAGGATCAGTTACTATCACCGCAAGTACTGTAACACCACGTTACCTTCAAAACATAATACCGATGCCATCATCGCGACACAGAACCCTGGAACTGCCAATGCTCTAAAAATTTCGGTAAACATCTCTTGAAAACATGCGTATGTATACTCACAAGGAGTGCACATAAGACGTGCAGAAAAGACCATTAAACGGTTGTGCGGAGGCCTTGTGTAGTTTTGTTAACTGTAAATATTTCGTCAAATCGTAATTTCACGTCGTGAGGCTGGGCTACAGACAATCGATGCACCGATTGAAAACCCTGCGAACACGATATACGGCGGTGATATTATCTGAATCGGCTCAAAGTTAGCGCGATTTGAATTCATACAATTTTGCCGTGTACTCGCTAGGAACCTGCAAAGCCACCGAGGGAACTTCTCAGCAAAGTGGTGTTCAAAGTTTTGAATAGTTATCCAGGTCTGTCGATTATACGCGTCAGACATTGGGGCAGAGAAAAACTACCGCAGGAACCTACATGGATAGCGACGCCGACAACCGCAACGGTGGCCCTGGCTGACAGTCAAACGTGCACCAAGCTTGGTAATGAGATGACAACTCACATTGGGGCAGCTCCGTATATCATCGCTGCTTGAACTGTACACACTGTTTGGTAGCGAGGATGGACGTCTTCCCCTGTGTATAGACTGATATGTATAATGCTCGAATCATTTGATGGAATTGTGAAGATCAGGACCACTTACTAGAGACAGTGTATTATCGAGTAGCACACGCACGTCACGCACAGATTTATTAAGGTTGGATGCCAGCACAACTTCCTATGGAGTAGGGCAGTAGTGATGATGACTGGCAATAGAATATGTCCCCCAGTTATCAAGAAGAAGAGGTAGAGAGGGATAAGATGCTTTAGGTTTGATGAAGGGACTTTGCAAAACTCTTAGCAGTGAAAACTCACCATCAAACTGACCACTTACGAGATACATATAAATCGACCATTGAATGTGGCGCGCACGGCCAGTGGATCAACTAGTGAGGCTATTGATCCACGTAGTATATAGTGGAGGAACTGCGATTCGGACATCATGTCAATGCAGTCCTGCAGATCTGCCCGCTGTCGGATCAAGTCCGAATATTGTTATTTACGTACGTTCTAACATTGCGCCCGGCTGATACAAGAAATTCACAGAACGCGGGTTGATGTTTCCAAACACGAGTAAATGCAGACAATCGTCGAATGATATCCTGAGAGCACAATATCAATGTGTTGATCGAAACAGGTTCATATTGTAGAAATAGCTGTGAACACATCTACTCAGCCCCTATCGAGTCTCCACCAGCAATAAAGGAAACCGAGTAGAAACCTTGGCAAGCTCCACAGCTGACAAAAATGTCGTGTCTGCCCCAGGCACACCATAGGTCAGTAGTGCACTTATCTTATCTGCACTTTCCTTTGCGGGTTGCATGGAAGAAGTAGGCGGAAGAAGTGCTGACAGTAACATTTGAGTCCTCATCAAGTATTCCTTGGCAGCTTGTTCTGGATCAGGTTGTAGATGTCCCCCTGAAGATTGAACCTATAAATCCCATTGTTAGGATGTTGCATCGCAATAGTAACGGATACATACTTCCGACTGCAGCGCAGCGATCAGTCTGTCAAGTGAATATGTCTCGAGTGCCTCGGAAGGCCAGACCAACGCAAGACATCGCAGGAAGTTTGCATCATTTAACATCTGTACATTCCGACCTGTATCGCCATTCGGCATATCACGGGTGAATTTGTCGATGAATAAGCTAAAGAGTGATGACGCTATGCTAGTGAGTTGTGATGGATGGTGCGTGAGACCCAAGCTGTGCAAGGAAGTCGATAAAGCATGTAAGCTTTCCATCAGGGCTGGTGATGGCCCTGTAACAGGGTATATTGGATGGTGTTAGAGAAACGTCTTGCAAGGCAAACAAAGAACAGACCAGAAAGTGTTAAATGAAATTTTGCGTCATCATATACTGAGATGGCAGAAGAAATAGTGTGCTCCCTCCACCGGTTGATGATTCGGTCGAATAGTAAACCTGTTTTGTCTCGAAATTCTAGACGACTCAGTTGTTAGTAATCAAGTATGTCAAGTTGGTGATATGATCAACATACGCAGTGCAACAACCTCGTCACAACCTATATTGTCAAGGAAAGGCGATGTCAATGATATTTCGACCGCCACTCGACTGAGGAAAATCAGATTTCTCATCGCTGGAGCGGTGTCTTTTTGTCTGGTGAGTTTGGAAGGCATTCGGGTGTGGTGCCGTCTTACCTGACTGGTTCATCAGCTCATCGGCAGTCGAAGCAAGAGCGTCGGCGATCATAGAACAAAAAGCCTTCGCCTCTGGGAGATATGCCTCAACTAGATTGCGGGCTAACCTTCTGGATGCCGCAGCTTAATCAAAGATAGTCGAATGAAACAAAGATATGAACATACTTGCTGTTCTGATCCAAACTAATACGGGTATAGTCTTTTTGCAATGAAGCTGCAGATTCCTCCAGAATGTTTAAAAAAGTCTGCAGGCGAGGTGTCCGACCACGAAGTTGTGATTGCAACACTGTTTTATACGTTTGGTACGGGAGTTCGTACGCTGCAGGTCCACTTCCTGTCAGGGGTGGAGGCGGAACAGACTGGGGTACATATATGCTGTTTAGAGGAGAAAACTCTGATGGTCGAGCAGTCCTTTTGAACCATATTTTTACAAAGAGCACCAATATACATACCTTCAGCAATGACACCACTACCTGCAGTAAGTGTAGATAACGCCTTCAAGAACAGCTCTTTCGCCCTGTGGATGGTATCGGTCCATATGGCGCTCACTCGCTTTCTGACAGCTTCTTCAAATAAAGTATCGAGTGCCGTCTGCTCCGTTTTCACCAACCCCGATGTGAGTAGCCACTTTCGTAGGGAGGATCTAACATTCCAAACGCTCTTCACGCTGTCCAACTCCAGCAGCCAGCGGTCCAAAGAATCCCGAAGTATAGAGCAAGACTGGTTAAACCAAGTTCGTAATTTATCCTCCAGAAAGTGTCCTGGCACGGAAGACGAAGCGGAAGATAATTCGATATAAGGTTTGTATGACTTGATGTCAGCTGGAAGGAGGGTGAAGTATGACGACGATGGAAGTCCAGAAAGAATCGTTTGGGTACTCAAAGCCAGTTCAAAAGGAAGTGCAGTCTCTGAGTTAGATACGGCGAGCGATTCGGTATGCATCTGCTCCAGCACGCGAATTGCCAGGGCTGGCTGCGTGGGTCTCAGACTTTGGAATACGTTCCGAGCGCAATTTACGGTCCTTGATATTACCTCGACAAGAATTAGCAGTGAGGACTTCACTTCTTGAAGTCTGTCATTGGGAGAAGTGCATTTAGACTGCACCAGCTTGGAAGCCCCAAGAGGATGACCGTTGGTCTGTGTCATAGGAACGCTATTGGGGGTTGCAGTTGTCGTGATAATTGAGTTTTTTGAAACCGATGTATGCATAGTCCGCGTTCTCTGGGAGAGATATGTCGTCAAAGTGTCTGTCAAAGGTCTTGATTCGAGAATATGGAGAGTCAGAATAGTTGCACAGGTGTCCTGGATTAAGGACATGAGAAGACAACGCGCACAACATAAAAAAGCGGACCTCGGGTGACTTTTCATGTATCCTCAGAGACAGAGTGGCTCTATGGACAATCTGAGAGCGAAAATGAGATATGGTCTCCCACTGTCGCTGGATGAGTGGAAATTGCTCCTGAATGCAAAATGTCAGAATAAGAAATGCATTTAGCAAGGAATTTACCATGATGTTAACGCCTTGGTTCAACCAACTATCCTCATCTTGGTCATCATCATGAGAAAGTGCCCGGTGCACAACGCGTGCCAGCATGAATAACCAGGTGGCATGAAGATACTTTTCTCTTTCAATAAGCCGCCATAGATGTTCTGGGGCATCAAGAAGCAACTTTATGTGGGCAGAGAGCACCTGCAATGTTTGCAAATGCGAATCTGAAATATGAATATGAAGTGATGCAATGTCATTGGACAGACTGGTACTGACCTTCCTTGCCTACATTCGAAGTACGATTTTCCCTGGATGGCTGTTGCTGAGACGCAATAGCATCTTTAGTTTCTTGGAATGCCTCTTGAACACGCCTTGCGGACTTTGACATGGAAATTATGGACGTTGAGGCTTGTAGGAGATCGCGATACCGTTCCCTGCGCTTTCAAAGTACAGTCAAAGCGCGAAGTGCATTCATGAAAGAGCACGCACCCGACCATAACACGAAGCTCCTCCTGCTTGGCTTCAGCGTCCGATCTGAAATATTGTCTTGAGCCAAGGAAGGCGACTGACACGGGTAGGTTTTGACGCACCTTAACTGAACTTGTTTCGCCTTGACCTCGGGAATAGTACATTTCGCAAACAATTCATCTGGGTCTATGTCCGCGGTCTCATCCTGTACCCTGGTGGATTGCACGCTCGAAAAATGAGTGGATGGGACCGAACGAGGGAAGTTTGGTGCTGAAGGAGATGGCGTGAATGTTGATGCTGAAGTCAAATGAGACAGTTCTGCAAGGTTCTTGATCGAACCAAACGATGCGACTGACACTGTAGACGGTCGCCGAGCCATACATACGAGATCGTTAATGTCCGGCGATATTTGGACTATATGTAATGTTTCACCAGGCTGGTAAACTCAGAAATAGACTATAGTCCGACGTGGTCAACAGACTTGGTATATTACGTAACCATGAGGGCTATTGCTATGTAGTTGGACAAATGAAAGTGAAGACGCGAGATGTGCTCCATGGATATTAGCTGCTGATGATCATTAGGCCGTACACTATCTTCTCCCATCATCAGAGCCTGATGTGTCTGCTACATCCATCTCCACAGGGCTAGGTTTCCTTTCATTTTGTGCTGGGGCAGGCGCGGCAGGCGAGGGTCTTGAAGACTGAGCCTGAGATATTCCGCTCTGGGTTGGTGAACCACTAGAGGAGTTAGCCAGTCGCTGGTCAAGTGCCTTCAGTGCAAGTGCCCTGGAAGTAACAGTCAACAGGGTTGATTGGATAAGGCAAGCGATTACTGACCGTCGCCTTTCAGCTTCGGCTCGAGCTCCACCTGGCACCTGACTATACCCTCCAGACTCAATGTCGTGAGGCACAGAAGTGGGAAGAAGGTGGAGACGTGTTGCAAGTTTGTATACTGTGTTTCCTAGCAATGATAGCGGTGTGCTGGGAAAAAAATGGTATCTGCAGGGGAAAAAAAATAAATGAAATACTCACTGAAGGAATGGTGGGAACCAGCTTGTCAAAGCAAATGTTTCGCTCCGGTCTCCGTATGACACTACCCCTCCTAGGGAGTCGCCAACATTGCGCTTATAGAAGCGGAGGTATACCCATGACACAAACCAGCCAAACTGGATGAGAATATATGGGCTTTGGAAGCCAAGTAATGTCATTATGGTCGAAAAAGTCAAGTATGCCATAGGAAACCTCTACAAACGCCGTGGGTCAGATCGACAAGTGATGGTCGATTTTTTGTTTACCTTGACGCGGGCCTTGATAAAGCCCAAAATTTGAACTTGGTGCTCGGGGATAACTTGAGTAAATGAAACAAGCAGGCTAATAAATAGTGCCATTTGACCGTGATACTCCATGCCATACCTGCATTGTCCAAGGATGTGAGGAGGCGCTGCCGTCGCAAGATGTGTGAGAAACTTACAAGAACAACTCGGCATTACGCGTCACAGCAAATTCAATCCAGTTGAAGGCGCACCCGATAATATTCGGTCCGGTCACGCATACGATAATAAACTTGAGAGTTTCGACCGTCCCCCACAGGCGCTCAAAATAAGCTAACGAAGCGGGAATGACAAGGAGTGAAATGATGAGCTATCAAAAATTGTTTAGTATCAATACATTTCGTCCTTGACCGTCAGTAAAACAATGCTTGCCTCGATAATGCTTATTTCGACCAGGGCTGAGGTTGCAAAGGTCCAAGGAAAGAATAGGCTTGTTCCAGGTACCAATGTCAAGTAGGCAACCGGTGTAGGGCCTGTTGTCCATCTTATCCAAAGATACAATGTGGAGGAAGCTAAAGTAGCCGCAGTAAAAAAACGCGTCACTGGTGGTACAGATTTGATGTATTGCAGCGGTGTCGAAAGGATAGCCATTGCGACACGTCAAAACCAGGGAAAGTCGTTGGATATGGCTAATAGAGGTCCTATTTAGAACCAAAGCTCACGAGAGTGTAGTGGAGACCGTCGCCGTTGTCGAGAGAATCCTTGAAATTGTTGCACTGAATGAGCCCAATGTCGCAAGGGCAAACTGTACCACCGGAGTGCCAGTTGGGAGTTTGCCGCTGTTTACTTGAAAGCACAATGGCTTCCTTACGTCAGCAAGCCTTCCTTGCTTCACCTCGTCATCTGCTCAGGCAGCCCCCGATGGCGGACTACGATTTTCGCCCAGGAGGCTCACTCAAATTCAAGGGCGGTGTTGCTGAAGGAGGTATCGTGAAGAAGTATGTATCATTAGTTCTTACCATTCAGTACACCTGACAGATAAGCAGAAAGAAGAAATCTAAACCCAAGCCAAACTCGCAATCTGATAGTGCGAAGGACCGCGAGCGTGAACGAGTGAAGGATTTATTATTCAAAGAGGAGGCAGAACTTGCTAGTGGTTCAGCGTCGGGTAGCAGTTCTCCAGCTCTACCAGGGAGTGATGCCAGAAAAACGGACGCAGAACGACGTTTTGAGGAAGCGCAAAGGCGCAGGGTGAGTTTTGTGCTCAAGATGAAAACTCTTCAAATATTGACGCGAAAGTCCAGCTCGAAAGTAAAGTAGCTCAATTGGCTCGTAAGACGCACAAGGATCGCGTCAACGAGCTTAATGCTAAACTTGAGTCGCTCAGCGAGCACCACGATATTCCCAAGGTATGTACAATTTTATGACGGTCCGTGCAAAGTCTCACGGCATTGGTTAGGTTGGTCCAGGATAATATTTACAAAAAATCGCGTTCAGCACTGCGTTCGGCTCAAAGACTGGTTTTGTGCGGGCCAGGCGGTGCAGAATTTCAGTGGCGACGACTATCTTCTTATCATCATCATGTCCTTGTAGACTGCTTGAAATTTATGTATTTTACACGCGAAGTGCCTGGGGTTCCACTATTGCCACATATTTGTTAGGTTGGTTTGATATAAGTAGCCACGGATGATGCGGGTCATAAATCCGTGACCACTCTTGACCCTTTCCTTCACGTTCATTCTCTGCATCATGTCTGCTGCACCGCAGACAGAAAAGAAAGGGCACATCTGCCCTCCCTCAAATGCTAAACACCCCTCCGATAGATGGGAGTCACTATTTGTGTACTCTTTCATATGCAAGTTCACGAATCTGAGGTTGAAGTTGGAGGGATTGGAGACACCGATGGAGTGAGCACACACCCGCACTACATGCACCTCACTCGCGTCAACTAAACACGCGATTTCCCCCGATGACAGCTTTGAAAATGCCCTCTTGACGCATGGTCCAGATCCCATACTCCAAAAGATTTTACAGCAATTTATACTGAATCTGCGACCGCAGACGCGTAATTTGAGGTGAACATTGTTTGCCACAGCTCGTTCACACAAGGGGAATGTTTGACCGTCGTTGTGTTTTGTCAGTATTGATCAGATCTCTTCCACTTTGAATGCTGTCCTTGCAGATGCATTCAAGGCATCGGAGCGAACTGTGTTTTGGGACGACGAACTTGGGGCGAATGTGAACCCTTTTGCCGATTTAGAAGGCGGGTTTTTCGCAGCCGATTGGGATCTCAAAGTTTGTCATTGTCTTGCCATGCTGTACGAATTACCCCTGAGCGCGCGTCACGCTACATTCCATACAGCTCCAAGTTCTTCGCCAACTCGTGGAATTGCAACTTACGCATTCCATTGACATAAAAGGCACTGTGGATCGCGCGTGGGGCGTGATGCAGAACAAGCACAAGAAGAAAGACCCTGAAACTGCTCCTCCTGAATCCAATGATTCCAAGAGCCAGCAGAATTTACAACTTGTTCCATTAGGCCAGGATGCACAACGCAAGCGGTATTGGGTCGCAGATGGTTCGTGTGTCTTTCATTTCAAGCTCCTCGCCCTCTTTCCTATTTGTGTGTATTTGGTGCGAGGCCGCATTTTTTTGGCCCCCATGTTATCCGGCGTTAGCCGTCTGTAAGGATTTCCGGCTGACTCCCGTTTCTGATCTATCTTAGATTCCCCACGGATATACGTTTCAACTAACCCCTGGAAAATCACTGCGACGTTCCAGGCAGTCTCTTCAACGCGTGCAGAGTATATTTCTGTGATTGAGAAGCTGAAAGCATCTTCCCCGCAAGGCGATCGTAAAAACAAACTAGAACAGGCCCATACTGCACTCGTGAAGGCACTCGAAAGCCGGATAGACCTTGTTGATGCGGATTTAGCGGTGAGTATTTGTTTGTCTTGATTAGTAGTAAAAAATAATAGATCCCACTTTCACTTGAAACGCTACTTGAAACGCTTACTCTCCGATTGTTCAGCGCGTACAAAGGGCCCGCAAGAAGATAGAGCAGCGTCAGATACTCATGGCACAAGCTGAAATTCGACAGACTCGCACGCGACGACAAACTCGTCGACCCGACTACGTGTATCACGACGCCGAGAGTGGGGAGGCAAGCGGTTGGCATCAAGTTTGATTTCGATTGCTAACTTGTTTTTATGATCAGGATGACGCCGATGAATATCAATTTGAGGAAGACAATGACTATGATGACGAGCCGTTTGCGGAGGATAACTTTGGTAGTTCCCGATCACACGGCCGTCGACAGCCGGCTGCTACTGCGCAGCGGAGATCCACCCGTGCCACAAAAACCAAGCGACCATCCCCTGATTTGTCTGCCTTTGAATGGAAAGGTGAAAGGAGGTCGGCTCGTCTCGGCCCTTCTGAAGAGACACCTGTGGAGCGTCCATCAAAACGTGCTCGAACGGAAGAAAGCACAATGAGTTCTACATCTGCAAGCTGGCCCCCAGTCTTGCCAGCCGAGAATTCAAACGGCGTCTCGAAGGCGAAAGCGAATGGCGCAGCAGCTGTCAAACCAACTGAGATTGCAGTTGAACAGCTTGGAGGGAAAAAGAAGAGCAAATTTTGGTTCTACGCCGTGGAACCGATCTCTGCGCCTTCTGACGTCCTACCACCTGGTGGCAGTGGTTCAACCTCCCTGAACGGTTATGAATACAACGGAGATACCGGCCGCTCCGGCACCAGTAGTAACACTTCGCTCCCGACACATGGCAAAGGAGATGCGATGGACATCGACAGCCAGAGAGAGTTCGGCTTGTCACCAGTCCCCCTGGAAGGATTGCGGAGTGTATAATTTTCTATTCCGTTGCTTCATTCGACTCATGGCATTTATTCTTTTTTCCCCATTTTACTCGCACTCCATAATATTCCACATACCAGCAAAGCCTCATCCATTGATCAGCCTAGTCTAATCATTCATCTTATTACTCCCTCTGACCTATGTAGGTTTTGCAGTGATGATACAGCAATGAACTTTTGATCCTCCACGTTTGTACTATATATCTATTCATTTTTTCAAAAAAAGAACGCGTCGAGCTTATCACCTCATCTTGTATCCCCATATGCAATTTATTAGTGATCGTGATACTGTTTTCACAAGTGTAACAATCTTCCAACTGATAAGGACACTGAGTTTTTTTCGAGGCCGATGCTGTTGCCAGTTGGTCCACTTGTCCTTTGCTTTTAGGTAATAATTATGCGGGTGCAATTATCGGACTAAGTCCAAAGTCACACCTCGGTGGACTTTGCTTCAACACCAGCGCCGTCGAATGATTGCACGTATCGCGGAGAATGCTTTCAAGAAGATATCACGATCTGTACCAAAGTTTCGTGGTGACCTTCGTGCTCATGAACTTGGTTTGGTTCGCCGAACAGCATCAACTCTGGTGAGACCTCCGTCCTCGGATGATGCAGAACTGGTCTCTCTCTTCGACCAACCGCAGACAGGGCAGAAAGCCTCACCGTTATTTGTCACAGGCATTTTTCAGCATCCTCAACTGACAACGCCAGCTGCGTTCAGTGCGCTCGCTGACTCGACCCTCGTACGCGCGCAACTCCTAACAGAACGAATATTGCGGGCTAGGGAATCTCGATCCGAGCTCTTCAAAGTGATCAAGAATCTAGACAGACTCAGCGATCTCCTGTGTGGTGTTATCGACCTGGCAGAGCTCTTGCGGAATGCACATCCTGATGCTCAGTGGGTGGATTGCGCTACAGAGAGCTACGAGAAATTATGCGAGTTCATGAATGTACTGAATACTCATGTCGGGTTATATGAAGTGAGTCATTCACTTTTTCGTATCTCAAGGTGTCACCTCCTTTGGCAGGTGCTGCACACTGTATTACACGACCCAGAAATCGTCAAGTCCCTCAGTCGGGAGGCACTTCAGACGGCGTTGATATTCTGGCACGATTTCGAAAAGTCTGCTATCAAACTTCCCCCGGAACAAAGGGAGAGATTTGTGTCTCTTTCGTCCGAGATTCTGTCTGTGGGTCACGAGTTCGTCACGGAAGCTTCTGCTCCGCGGCCGCCGGTGAAGATCAAGCCCTCCGAGCTCGAAGGTTTGAAGGACCAAGGGATGGGCGCTCGTCTTCAAAGACAAGCATTTTTTACGCAAAAGGACTTACTGGTTTATCCGGGCTCTCACCAAGCCTATATGATCATGCGCGCGGCGCCTGATGAAGAACCGCGAAGAAAAGTGTACATGGCAGGTCACACGAGCAATGCAGAGCAAATTGACCGCCTTGAGCGGCTGCTGAATGCGCGTGCTCAGCTGAGCCGCCTTGTAGGCTGGAACAGCTACGCTGGCATGACGCTCAGCGACAAAATGGCGAAAACTCCGGGTGAGCGGTTACATGTGGTAGCATGTTCAGCCAATCCTGATGTTCCTGTTACGTAGAAAATGTCAATCATTTTTTGGGTACCTTCTTGGACCGGACCACGCTCGTTGCTAGCAAAGCATTGCATACATTGAGTTTGCGGAAGCAAGCGCATCTTAAATCGGCGAACCTTCCTATTATCCAGGCGTGGGATAGAGATTATTATTGCCCACCCGAACCGCCAGCACCACCGGTTCCTCTCCCCCCTCTTTCACTCGGACGTGTATTTATGGGCCTTTCACGACTATTTAAACACCTCTATGGAATAACGTTACGACCCGTTGATGTCGCATTTAGCGAAGTATGGCACTCTGACGTGCACAAACTAGAAGTGGTTGATGAAGATAGAGGCGTCGTTGGCTGGATATATGCTGATCTCTTCGCCCGTAGTGGGAAATCGCGCGGAGCCGCACATTACACTGTTCGATGCTCCAGACGAACGGATGACGACGATGAAGCTGGCGACCTACAAGTACCCGGAACAGATGAATTCGTTGGTCCCTCTATCGAATTCGAGGCAATTAAGCGGCACAGACTACGCGGCGAGCATGGTGAGTTCCAGCTGCCACTGGTAGTCCTGCTTTGCGATTTTGTACCGCCATCTGCTGCTCGGGGCCCTACCATTCTCGAATGGTATGAAGTTCAGACCTTGTTCCATGAAATGGGACATGCCATGCATTGTGAGAGTTCATCATTCTCGCTGAGATCATGACTATTGATGAATTACAAATTTCAAGCCATGATCGGTCGAACAGAGTACCACAATGTTGCAGGGACGCGCTGTGCAACCGACTTTGTCGAACTACCTTCTATCCTCATGGAGCACTTCCTCAACTCCCCAAAAGTTCTCTCCCTCTTCGACACCGACGGCTCTTCTATCATCAACCAAACTGGAAACCACCACGAAGATCCTTGCCGGTACATCGATAGCCATAATCATATCTTACTTTCCCTGCTTGATCAGGCATACCATTCCCCCTCTGTCCTTGAGCCGGGCTTCGACTCGACGACTGCTCTCGCAAGCTTGTATAATACTCGCGGTCTGATCCCGCATGCACCCGGGACGTCCTTCCAGACGCAATTCGGGCACCTCTTTGGGTACGGTGCCACGTATTATTCATATCACTTCGATCGTGCTATTGCATCACACGTGTGGCGGAAGATTTTTTCTACTGACCCACTCAACCGCGAGCTGGGAGAGAAGTACAAGCAGGAGGTGCTGAAGTACGGTGGTGGGAGGGACCCGTGGTTGATGCTCAGTACATTGCTCGATGCACCTGAGCTAGAAGTCGGCGACGCAGAAGCGATGCGGGAAGTTGGCAGATGGAGAATGGAAGATGGAGTCGTTCCGGAAAGACATTAGGATCTATCCTACATCAAACTATTCACTGCTGCATATGTTATCTCTGACTAGATCCTAGAACGCGATTATCGCAGGAATTACAACAGGGTTTCTTTTGTTTGATTCCGGTACATTCAGAGCGATTGTAAATCGATGGGAAATAAAATGTAACAAGTGAGTAACAAGATAGATGCGGAATAAGCGTCGTACGATGCATGATGCAGGGTATATTATGCAATGTGCACGATGATGAGCAGAGATACGATATGAATAATGTTACATATATCTTGATATGCCGCATAACCTATACGGACAGCATAAGCGAAGCGAGTATTTCGATGATCATCTAACTCCAGAATAAGCAAACAAAGCAGCCAGCAAAGAACAAAAATGCTTACACAGACACTGCTAGATCCTGCTCCAGTATACGCGTTTGTTCCCTTAGAAGCTGGAGTTGCTCTAGCTTTGCCAGACGAGCACCATCAGCAGGTGAGGGAGGCCGAGGTTGTGGAGGAGCATATGACGACGGGGGTAGCTGAAGCGCGGAGAGATCGATCTCTGGTAATAGTTGTGAGAAGTCATCGAAAGACGATGGCAGCGAGAATTGGTGAATGTCGGACAGGAAGGGTTGCTCAGAGTTCAAGAGATCCGTCCAGCTGAAAGGGTCCGAAGGTATATGATTGACAAGGTCTACTGGTGGCTGGAAGGTGGTGTCGATTGCCGTAGATGCTTGAACTACCTCGCCAGAATAATTGGGAGGGATTGCAGATATCGCGTTGAAAAAATGGAAATTGTCGAGATCACCTAGATCAGGTGTAGGAGCGGAAACGTGGGAGTGAACTTCCAAATTGGCCAATTTTGGTGTAACTGTCACATCTAACAATCAGTTGGGAATCGTAGGATATGATGGTGCAGACGTACAGTCTACCAAGGCAGGCTGGGTGTATTTTAGTTGAAAGGGTTGTTCAATGGAATTTATTTGTGTGTCAGGGAACGTGTATCCGTTGAAGATTTTAATGTCAACAGGGGCAAACTGGTCGAAACCGACGTTCTCGACTGGGCCAGGAATCTCAAAGAAATTCGTCTGGAACCAGTCGTTGATGTTTGACTCGAGTGCAATGGATGCTTTGGGAAGAGGGTCAGACACGGCATGAATGCGTGGTCCAACATGGAGGTCTCTCGGACGCTTGGGCACAGCGTGAGCATCAGCGTCTGATAGCCGTCGCTTTCGTGAAGACCCTGAGGATGACTGAGGGGCAATAATTTGGACCTCGTCATTACCATCCAATCCACCACTACTTGATGGGGGGGATGGCAAGGCGGAAGCATCCGCAAAGGGGGTCAAAACCTTCGCATTAGACCTGAAAAATGTCAATCAGTGGCAGTTAGCCCAATGCATGATGATGACTTACCGAAGGCGTTTCATCGGACGATCGGCACATGAAGATTGCGTATGATCAGTAGATTCGGACGATACAGAGACACGCCGCTTCCGACCAGCGAGAACGGGTGGAATGAAATCATCTTCGTCTTCACTCTCATCTGTCCGCAACTCCTCGAGAGTGGGAATGGGAGATGGAGAGCGCGAGTGCCCGGGAGATGGATACGAAGCGAAAGCTGTGCGCGCCTTCTGGGCCTGCCTATCAAGCGCCCTTTGAATTCTCCGCATCTCCTTCTCTTCCTCACGTCGTTTCTTTTCCTCTTGTGTGCGCTCCTTCTTTTCCTGTTCCAATGACAATCTGTCTTCCTCTGTCATATCCTTGACCACTGCATCAAGGTCACCTGCAAGCGCGCTTTTGGTGAAAGTAGAGGCATAAAGATCGTGTGTAGCAGCTTTCATCTGCTGAAAGTCATGGGAGATGACAGGTGCAAGTACACGGGAAGGGTCTTCTTTGACCAGAGCACAAGAAGCAGCATCAATAGTGTCAGCTCGGCAGTTATTAAAGTATTTGCGGCAAATAGTCGTCCAGCCGATGCGACGGCGAGCACTGGTGAACCAGGCAGCAACGGAGCTCATGGAACATCCAGAGCTGCTGGCAATAGTTGCTTTCGTATCAGAAGACGGGTAAGGGTTGTGAATATTAGCAAGCAGCCATTTGTATGCTGGTTCGATGAACGGGGGTAGCGAAGATTCTGAGGAGGGTGCATTTTGTGCTGTGGACATTGATGGAGATGATATATTGACACGGCTGAGGCCATCTAAAACGTTCTCCATACCATCAAGAAGTTGGTGCCGTAATTTGTTGTGTGTTTTGTGCAAGTCAAAGAAACAGTTCGCAATGATAGCGACCCTCGAAGCTACCGATTTTGCAATAAATATAGTGTCATCGGATAGTTCTCCTGCCGATACACAACTGGAATAATCTGCGTACAGAGAATTCCAAGATGACTTGAATGACATTAGGGAGTCATCGCCGCGCGGGATCGAATCAATTAGGTCGTTCTCTACTTGTTGAAAACGTTGCCGTATATCTTTGTCCATCCTGTAGAGTTTGGATTTGAAGAGATGAGATTTCGAAGATAGTGCTTAAGAGTCTTGAGCGACGTCTATATTATATGTATTTGTTTGGACGAGATTCAGACAATGCGGAACTTCAATTTTAAACTGACAATCGTTATTACTTACCAAAATACCAAAAAATAGCGTCAAACACATCATTGTTCACAAGATATACTTCAACTTGGTCAAAACCTGGCACTACTCAAATCCAACGTTTTCGATGGCCGGCGCGACTGCTGTAGACTTAGTCTTAAGGCGAATCATTCAAAGTGCTCAAGAAACCCAACGCCTATGCATAGCCTACCCGACATCGCTGGGCTCACCCGCATATCAATCTTCTCCACGCCAACCTCTTACCAGCATGTCCCTTCCTGACCCTCCCTCAATTAAACCTGCCCTCATAGCTGCAGGTGCATGTCCAGAAATCGCGCAAGCAATCGATCAAGCATATCAGAAGCGGGCAACTGACTTGCGAAACGTCTGTCACTCGGCTGTAACGCTTATATACTCAACCAAGTACCCTTCGAATGTTCGCCATAGCCCAAATCAAAAAGTCCTGTCCGTATTTACCGAGCTATATCTCAGACAGCTCGTCACGTGGAGAGAAGAAGGTGTTGCCTCCTATCTTAAACACTCACCAACAGGCGATAAAACACAAACTTCAAGTTCAGCAAAATTTAATCATGTACGTCCAATTTGCTTCCTTCTGTTGCCCATCCTTGTGTAATGCCTTTGCAACAGGAATATGTTCCATTGCTCGAATACTTCTTCGCAGAGAACCCATTCCCAACTCATGCAGACAAGGCTTTTCTTGCAAAGAAATCAGCAATGACGTATCGTCAGATTCATGTTTGGGTACGCATATCTATCGGTACACATTGAGTCTTGATGTTCATCATCCCAAGTTTCAAAACAAGCGCAATAGAATGAAGAAAGAGGGCAAAGTTTTAAGGAAGAAAGCAGTAGCCGAGGGTGCCACTCTTCCTTTGGATAACTTGTACCAGCGTATGGAGAAATTTATTGTACCGGAAGAAAAGAAGGCGCTCCCGTCGCCTCCCAGTCCTCCACATTCTCCTACCAAGCGAGGAGACGAGATAGTGCGTGTAGTATCCCCCCTTTCATCTTTGTTTTATTTACAAGGTCTCATAGATGGCTGTCGCAGACAACCTATGCAATCCACTCGAACCCATGGCACCTTTGCACGCATTTCCATCGTCTTCATGCTCGTATGATCCTTTTCCATCGAGGAATGGTGTGACCAATTTTGGTGCGCCAAAATGGTTCCGATGCCCAATGACCACAGTTGTCAGACGTCCTACATTTGACATTGATAGGCTCGTAGATCGTTTCTCGAGGATAAACATACTGGATGATTCTGGTTCGCGTTCATGCGGTAGCGCCGATTCATTTGCAGCTGTGGCTGCCATCACGGTTATGCCCTTCCCTGCGCCTCTGCCTGCCCTCATTCGGAGGCCACCTACGCATATCGCACCCGTCCGTACCCCCCTACATTCCGTTCCTGCAACTGCAGCTCGCCGCCATGTCTTCAACACCTCCAGTCCTCAGTCAAGGCCTATCACATTGGTGCCAACTTCTGAGACTCCAAAAGGGCAGAAGGTTCGCCGAAAAATGGCACCATTGCCAAAACGCATCCCTCGCGGGAGCCCAGTTTCTCACCGGGGTGTCACGCCAGCTGTTTCAGAGGCGTCTGTCGCCTCACCTTCGCCATCATCCCCCTGGTGTTCGTCTTCATTCGGGTCTGAGAGTTCTTCACAGGGCCGCCTATTCTCAAGTGCGAGCTCCATATCGAGCAGTTCTTCCAGCGTCATGACACCAGCTCCATTCCCCTCACCTTCGATACAGCTTACGTCTCCTGCAACCTCCTTGTACAATTTCTCCTCAAACATGACTGATCTATTCGGTGATGCTTTGGAAAACGTTACCTCACCGGCGGAGGGACTTCAGCTTGACTTCAATCCTAGTATATTCGGGAATGAGCACATCCTGAAGTCGCCGGCGTTCGACTTCTCCTTCGGTGCGGCCCCAGCAGCGAATCCTGTTCACGCACCACCATGAGCCACCCTGTGGTGGGAGTCCACGGACTTCGGTTCAGCATGCTCCAGATCGAGCTTGCTTTCTACCTTGGCACGCCAGGCCTCACTGCTGTGGAACATCTAGTGGTGACGAAAGGCTACGGCAACGTCCCATTGCATCCCTTCATCTAATACCCTGAAGCGGATCTCATGCACCATGCATGTCCTATGTCTATGATAGTACATCTTGACCTGTGCTGTATTCTATTGCTGTCTAATCGTTGCTCTTGTTTTTAAGTGTTTTCCCCTTTGCACAATATCTTTGCTTTTGCTCATTCGATGTTACATAGTCATTGTTGTACTGATCTTTGTACCTGCCGTTGTATGCTGTAAACAATTGCAACTGAATGCTGGACGTATCTTAGACGTGGTCTCACTGGGCAGAACGAAATCGATCACAATTCTGGAACGTCAGTAACAACCTTGTGTTCTTTAAATTGGGTATTTGTCCAGAATTTACAAAACTTCACAGATGAGCACTACTAGGTTTTACACGTAGGCGGACACCGTACCCAAGATACAAAATTTCTCGAAGTCTTTCCCCTCGATACCTTTAGAGGAAGTTGCTTGCCTAGAGGACAGAGTCAGACGTCATGAAAAATTCAATCATGAAATGATGCACCATGCCCATCACTCCGCTCAAACCTCCACTGCTGGAGCCACCGATAAAGTTGCTCATCTGCTTCTTCATCAAAAGCTGCATGGCGTAAGTAGCAGCGCTGTTCATGGCGCTTTGTTTAGCCTCGCTAGATCCGCCACCAGACTGTTCGAAGAGCGAAGAGGCATGCTGCATGGCCATGCCAACCAGCTTGCTCTGCATATCACCTCCACCGCTGCTTCCGTGACTTCCGCCGCTCACCATGTCCGTGAACACCTGCAAAATTTACGGGTATTTGTGATCTTGATCTTGATCATGGCTTACTTTGAAGGCTGCAGCTCCACCCATTGCATCGGGTGCCATGCCTTGTGGACCCTGTCCCCCAGAGCTGAATGCCTGGTCGTGAGCATTTTTGAGGTTTTGAATGCCATCCTCGTCGATGTCACCTTGTTGCTGGACAGTCTGATTCGCAGTGATTAAGAAGGGTCTAAATACGTTCAACGGGGAACGACAAACCCTGTGCGCATGAGACAATGCCTGGTCCATGAACCCGTGGTTGCCAGAGTCGACATGCTGTCTCACATCGTCCGAGTTGACTGCCATCTGCTTGTGAGCACGACAGGGGTGATCACCAAGTAGATGACATACACGAAGGCCTGTAAGACTGGGGAGGTCGGTTGTCGGGAGAGTTGAACTCTTGGCCTCCAGTCTTGTGTACGTTGGCTGTCCGATCGCTGCGTTTGAATATTCCTGCGATACGAACGGTGGATTGTCTACTTACTCTGGCTCTGAGACTCGGAGTAGGCTTCGTAACCTTGCTTTGCGAGATTCATGAAAGAGTCCTATGTGCAGATCGTATCAATTTATGACCACAGTTTGTACTACGCAAAGCAACTTACCATGATGATGGGAGGTTGTTGGGAGGTTGATTGTAGGTAGATATATGAGACTCAGAGACACCGCATCAGTCCATCGTTATCACCCGGTGCCGCAGTTAGCCGGTTCTAATCTAATCTCAGCCATTTTGGTTCCTTCCAATCAGAATCGTTCCGATGGGACATAGTCCATCGTGACCCTGAGCTTTTTGACGCTTGTCTTGAAGGGGTTGGTACCGGTACTGGTGCTAGTCTTCAAACGACAACTCGAACGTTCCCTGTCAGTGTCAGCTGCCTACTACTAGTTCAGTGTGGTTCAACCGAGACCGTGACTAAAATTTCTTACGTTCAGACCAGGGTGAGTATCATTGCATACTAGCCTATTTTGCTGTCACTACTTCACACTTGAAGGTTGCTTTCAATGATTGGCTACAAGCGCGACATCCAAGAGCGAGCTAGAGGAAGTCTTCGAGACTATGCAACAATGTCACATCTATGGCTACACAACTTCTCGGTATCATAACATTCTATGCGACAGTTGACTCCAGCTCTCTCTCATCTGCACCAGTAGTGGTTATCGTAGATGCGTATTGAGTGCCCGCAACTAAGGGCGTCCCGGTAGTTGCGCACGTGTTTGATGGAGGAGTAACCGCACCAGAAGGCGAGGTACTAGAGTGCATCCCGAGGTAACCTTCCGCTGTCTCGCGTGCTTTTTCGACCTGTGGTTGCAAAGTGGATCGTGCAACGTCAATGTGCGGTTGAGCGGCGGCTTGTGCGGATGCAAAGTACTTCTGAGCGGTTCCAACAGCAGACGATGTCGACGCCGATGTCTGCAATGATGATGATGTGGCGTCTCCTCCTGGCTTGTCCGAAGTGGCTTGCGGGTCTGTGCTACCGTGAAGATAGTCCTGCAAAACATATAGGCGTTCAGGTTCAAAGACAATGTGAACCGTTTTCTCACCTGGGCAGAAGTGGCAATACTCTCCACCACTGTCTTTGCCTGGTCTAAATAACTTGCGCTGGTATTCTTGGCCATATGGAGATCCCTCTGCCCTTCGGAGGCTGCGGCGTTCGTCTTCTGAGCCACTTCACTTTTTAAGACATCAAATGCAATACTAGTGTCTCTCTCTCCCGTCAGTTCAGGCCCCATTCCCTACAGGTTGCAATGCGTAAGTGAGTTTTCGCCTGGATGGATGAACGCAGCTTACTTGCGCAGCTTGAGCTGCTTCGGTTGCTGCTTGTTGAAGGTGCTCCGCGTTCTCTTCCACTTCGTGTGCAACATGGGCGTTTGGTGCTTCAGCTTGCGCATGAGCGGCTGTTGTCTCACGCTGAGCTCTCCTAGGAACCAAAGGTCAACATCACATGGACTCTATGCCAAAAGATTGCTCACTCGGTACCCTGAGCCTCCTCGACATTAAAATTAGAACCTTTGTTGACTGTGTTCGACATGGTTGTTCGGTGTAATAAGTTGATAGACTGTCGCGTTTAGTCTGGTCTTATACAACTACACCTCTATGATGTCATGGCTTGCCTACGGCGGTCACATGTCAATTGTATGACGTCGGGCCCGGATACAATGTGGATCGCACGGGCACTTCCAGATGCGACTTTTGAGCTTGGAGAGTTCCTTTGCTGACAAGACGCGGATGCTTTCTATATACACTCTTTGTTTGTCCTTGCAATGTACGTTCTGATCGCTACCACCGTTCTCATTGATGATAGAATAGGGCTAGTTTCATCGTCATTGTACCTAAGCCAATTGGCGTAAAACATCGGTAAAGGACCGTACGGAGCGGTATTGTAGTGACTCTCAGTCAAAAATTCCGTCACATCGCCAAGACAAGCTGTCCAACCATGACTTCGAAAGCTATTTATATATATGCAGATATTAAGATCACGACTCCACGAACCTCGCATCCAGAATATTTGACCATCCAGTTGCACTTTTCTTTGGAGGCTTATGGCTGTATACAACTTTCGCCCCCATCGCCACTCGGATCGGCTACAAAAGGCATGCGAGGCGACTATGGGGCGTTGCTGCGATATTACTTGTCCAGCAAGCGCATTTCTTTCGGAGTGTAGGTGTCTAGTAAATCAGTATAATGTTTTGCAGGGCGCCTACCATGGAGACTATATGGACACATGCACCCCATGATGAAATCCTGTTTGTGGACCTCGCAGAACAATCAATCATACGCAAGTAACATCATAGAACCGTCGAGTCCTTTGGTCAATGACTTGACAAAATTCATGACGACACAACAGGTCACATCCCATTGTCTGCGAGCTCGCGATCTGACAATACGAGTGACACAGGTAGACACCAGCTTGATTAGTTCAAACGAGGTCGGAAGTGCCAGCGGACCGTGTTGATGGCTATTAAGTTTTTCCAGACCTGTAAGTAGTCTTTAGATAGACTTGCTTTCAATGATGGCTTCACCTTCCGAATCCCCAACCCAGAGACCGTCTTTGTTCCAAATCTCGATCACACATCATGATGAAAATACGGCGGAAAGCAATGGCAGAACCAAAGTCAAGGACGTGAAGTCTACAAAGTTCGAACGAGCACGATTCTAAGCCTAATGGTTACTTCGGACGCAACTTCAACTTGCTTTTGCGTTTCTGCAATCAGCTATAATGTAAATTTCTCTAGGTTTGCACGGGAGGGTTTTCCTGATGTCTGCAGTGATGGACAGGATTCAACGCACTTGCGTTTCGAATTACAGTGCTGCTTAAGACTCGGACTCATCATTCCGATACAAACACGGGTGAACAAATATAGATTCAGCAATTGACGACAAAACTCCGGGTATTCGCCACCGATATTTTGGTACCATAGACGATCTGCAAGACTATCTGGGGTATGCTTTATCACAGCTAAACGTGCGAGCAGAACTATTGTTCTTCCCTATTCTACGTTCAGTACGTGTTCTGATGAAGAGTTTCATCGCAGACATACTCAGACCCGTCACAACAGTACTCAGTCGACAAGGAACCGTCCACTGGCAAGTTGCAGGCTCTGCTCCGTATAATATTAGATCCCGGGCACGGGAGCCCCCCACACGGCTCCCAAATGCATCCGCGTGCACTAAGAGGACCAAGAGCAGTAAATGCTAAAAGAATGATCGCTAAGAAATTCATCTAGACCTTCAGTGTCATCAGTGGGATCTACAGGTTGGTGAGGTGAGCTTTACGGTCGAAGAGTGCGAGATCTTTAAGCTGGGTGTGGGGTTTTCTTTTGTTGGTTGTTGGTTAGTTCTGTGCTCACTCACATTAATATAGCTGCTGCTAGTTAAAATATTGATCCGCACAGCAATCATGCCTCGTGGTCTTCCTCAGGCAGATCACATCATGAGCATGCGAGGTCCGAAAGACTCAGACTTCCACAAGGGTTGAGGCTAAATCAAGAGCCACCGAGTGTCTGTAAGTGCCAGACTTCAAGAGTGTTGCACATTTCATTAACGATGATCAGCGGAGCTTATTTGTCGCAATTATGCTGCAACCGGCAGAACTGGTATCCGGACGATACACTTTTGCGTTTCTGCAATCAGCTATAATGTAAATTTTTCTAGGTTTACACGGGAGGGTTTTCCTGATGTCTGCAGAATTCAACGCACTTGCGTTGACGTTGACGTGCTTTCTCAGTTATCATCACTTGCGTTTCGAATCACAGTACTGTTTAAGACTCGGACTCATCATTCCGGTACAAGCACGGGTGAACGAATATAGATTCAGCAATTGACGACAAAATTCGGGGCGTTCAGCCACCGATATTTTGGTACCATAAGCTATCTGCAAGACTATCTGGGGTATGCTTTATCACAGCTAAGCGTGTGAGCAGAACTATTGAAGTGCTTCCCTATTTTACGCTCAGTACGTGTTTTGATGAAGAGTCTCACCACTGACATACCCAGACCCCTCATTTGCGTCATTAACTGCAACAGTACTGAGTCGCCGGGGAACCGTTCAAGTCGCAACTTTTGCTCGTTACGACACTAGATCCTGGGCACGGGAGCCCCCCACACGACTCCCAAGTGCATCCGCGTGCACTAAGAGGACCAAGAGCAGTAAATGCCACAAGAATGATCGCTAAGAAATTCATCTAGACCTTCAGTGTCATCAGTGGGATCTACAGGTTGGCGAGGTGAGCCTTACAGTCGAAGAGCGCGAGATCTTTAAACTGAGTGTGGGTTTTTCTTTTGTGGGTTGTTGGTTAGTTCTGCGCTCATGCATATTATAGCTGTTGCTAATTGAAATATCGATCCGCAAGTTCGAAAACAGCAACCATCCCTCATGGTCTTCCTCAGTCATGAGCATGCGAGGTTCGAAATACAACTTGAAGGACTCGGACTTACACAAGGGTTGAGGCTAAATCAAGAGCCACCGAGTGCCTGTAAGTGCCAGACTTGAGTGTTGTGGGCAGAACTATTTTGAAGTATTTCTGCCAGCAAAAATGGCGCCCCGACGTAATTCAAGGAGATGAGGCATACCCAACTTATTTCATTAACGACGATCAGTGGAGCTTATTTGTCGCAGTTCTGCCGCAACCGGCAGAACTGACATCCGGACGATACCAATGGTCGGGTGTCCTCCTCCAACATTTTACTTTAGGGACATCGAGCGGTTTCCATGAAGTTATAAGATCTATATGACATCTCTGCATGCCCAGGTACCCTAGAGTTCTGCCACCCTTCGCATGAGTTCTACCGTGGACCAAGCACAACCCGGGCCAGACTGGTGGGCAAAACTCCCGAGTGTACTAGGCCCTCCCCCGCTGACTTGAACGCGGCCGTCAGGGATCTTACACTGCTCCCGCAATTCTGCATGTCTTGGACTTCTGCCACATTTTGGCTAGAAGGTTCTGCCGTCTGCCTGGCAGTGCCAATTCCACATGGCAGAACGGCAGAGTCCTAACCACAACACTAGTTGCGGATGAACACAACATGGTATGGATATCCATTATAATGAAAGAGAAATCAAGTTCGTTGCGAGAATGGTTGCGGGTATATACATGCAGATGCACTTCACGTAATCGTACAGGAGAAAAACAAAAAAAGAGATTCTGTAATCAGGAACATGAAAAGAGAAGCTGATAAGGAAATACGTAAAACTCGTTAAATCCGACGTGTGGGCTCCTCTCGTGAGCTGAGCTTCAAGAATCGAGCAAGCACATCTTCCGAGCCACGTTTGAAGAGTTCCACTCCTCGAGCAGGATCCCAGACACGAGATGCTCGAGAGGGAGTACCAGGAGACTTTTCTGCTGGTGATGCTGGACCTAGAGACGATGAAGTTGGTGATTGACTGGAAAATAGTTGAGAAGGGGACGACAGTGGACTCGGAGTCGTACTCCTATCTGCTCTCGGCGTTGTTCCGCCAGACTGTCCCGGTATCTGCGAAGGTAAAAGGGTCTCCCGAGAACTCATCATCACTGGAGAAACGGAAGATCGCGGTGTTGATACCCGCGAAACAGCAGGGGACAACAAGCCGCTTGGTTCAGCACCCGCGGCAACATTCATCACAGGTGGCAACACCCTGAGACTTGATGAAGGGTGCCAGTGCTTCTTCATAGATCCGCTGTGCGTGCGCGCTTTCAGCGGCCGCTTTACAGCGATATCCTCCTCCGAAGAAACCTGCACACTTTGGGTGCACATTTCCTTCGCGTCCGTCTGCACTCCAAATGATCGGTATTTCTGTTTTGTGGTTGCGATGCTAGAACTGCGAGATCGTACCTCTGTTACTGTTCGCTTGCCTTCGTCCTCATCCGAGTCCATCTCATCATCACCATCGTGACTGCTAGCTTCTGACTTTTCCTCCCAGGGTTTCTTTGGGTTTTCGAATGCGGTTGCTAAGGGAGTGTGCCCTGGAGGGCGCGCAAGCTTCGAAGCAAACTTGTGGATACCAGGAACGCCATCCCACATGTTTCCAGATGTCAATGATGGGAAACCTGCTAATGGCGAAGGCATTGGCTGGTGTGCTCCAAACTCCCGGCTCAACTTGCGCTCAGGAGTGGATGGAAACGAGAGGCGAGACGGGGACTGAAAAAACATTGACCCTTGTGGGCGGGGCTCGCCCTCTGGGAATACACGTGTAGGAGTAACACGAGGGCGCTCCTCCCAAGGGAAGACACGCTTGACCTTGGTAAGGTCGGGGGTAGGTGGCGCAACGCCACCCTCGGTGGCAGGCCCAGTGACATTGCGGTAGTGCCCTAGCTGGAGTAGCATCTGAGGAATCTCAGGTACAGGTGGTGGGCTGAAGAGTGTTTGGGGCGATGGGTCTCCTTGGACCAGGCTAACTTCCGTACTTGTTGCATCTGTCTCAGAGGACATGCTCGAGGAAGACCTTGATGATGACCCGGGATCTTTGTTTCTACAGGGAGACTCATCCCAGATATTCGGGAAATAGGTGTCTCTTGGGATTGCGGAAGGAGTGGTTAAGGTCTTTGGTGGCGCTTCGATCGTAGCATCCCATGAGAGAAGGGGCGGAGAAGTAGGGTGCGATCGCTCGATCCTTCGTTCTTGCAACGAAAGGGGCGACTTTGGTTGATTTAAGCGCACGGCTGACTTGGAGGACGAGGTGACAAAGTGGAGAGGTGTCGGGGGGAGAGATAATAGGCGCGATTGTGGCGCAGGAGGCACTTCATCGACATTTGGAGTTGGCAACGTAGTCCATCTTACAGGTGAACCCAATGATAGTGAACCTATTTGTTGAACAGGCGTTGTGGGTTCGGCGACTGCCTCGCTGAGATTTGGATCAGGAGGCTCAGGGGCAGTCTGGTGAAGATCATGATCCTCAGGCTTTGCGGGGCGTGGTCTCATAAGATCCAAACGCCCCTCAAGGGGCATGCTCTTGTACTCGCCCTCTCCTTTCAATCGATCACCAGACCGGAAGCCCATTATACCCATGCCCTGAAGGGCCAAACGGCGTAAGACATCGAGGCCAAGTGGACCTCCACTTGGTGCTCCCGTAGTCTCTACCGCCGCAGGGGAATTCCCCTCACCATCCCATGCAGACACGTATTTGCTGACAGGAACACCGAGATCCGGTGAGATGGGTTTTGATCGAAAGTGCTTGTCATAAACACTGTACCACCGATCGACGAGCGAACCATAGTCGTAGGCTTGTTGAGGTTGATTTACTGGCTCTGACATTGTAGACTGTTGTTCCATCTGAGATGATGGTACGTGGGTGGAGGATCCTGGGGCACGATAAGGAATGGAGTGCCAAGGCTTATTAGGTCCGATGAAATGCACCACTGATATCTGGGAACCGAACCGTTCATATGCAGGGGCATACCTGATTCGTAATAAATATGTCATTAACCACACGAGGGAAGGGAGATACGATATTACTGACGTATAAGCAGCAGTAGGAGTCGTGTTGTAAGTGAAGCTAAGCCTATTCCAGTTACCTCCCCTCCACTCATTCAAAATACCTTGATCTCCGCCGTCCCAGCTTCCATTTGTTTTCAGAAGCTCTTGAAGCTCCGCGAACTTATCTTCACTAGGAGAGAGCACCATCACACCCGAGTTGAATATATCGGGCCATCCTACGTCAGGTGCCGCAGAGAACTCGTGATCAAGGTGGAATAGGTGGGATAGGGGGCGCAATGGGAGAACATCCGCATCAAGGAATATCACCTTGGAGTACTGCGCGAGGCGGAATACGTGTAGTTTTGTCAGGACGGTATCAAGGTCAGGGCGTCCTGCAATTAAATGAACATGATATTAGCCTAGCTATTCCCACTGTATGCGGGTGGCTGATGGAGAAGCTTGGACACGATGCATTCATACCCCACATCTGGGGCACAATGTGCACAATGCAGAAACTGGCCTGGGAACCGTTACGGATATTCCGACAGAGAAGTTTTTCGTGCCCTCAGCTGATACCATTCAGACGCAACCCAGTCAGCGCAGCAACGACTCACCCAGTAAATTTAGTCCAGTAGGATCGGATTGGCCTATCACCTCAACACCAATGACAATATCGTATGTCCTTCTGAGTAGCTTGATTGTAGTTATATCAAGGGTTTCTGGTGTGACCATGCACACTGTGTCGTACTTGACCTCACGAGGTTCACTTTGGTGCACATCCTTTAAGGCACCCGAAATGGCGAGTGCACCTGGGAGATAGGAATCTGAAGTTACGAGAGTCACGAAAGCAAAATGAATGGACATGGCGAGGACAAGAAATGCCTTAAACGCGTCCGCAAGGACACGTCAGACGTATAACTTAGTGGAACTAGGTGAAAGAAATAAAAAATATCAACAGAGCTTATCGTAGGAGTGAAGGTTGCTCCAAACATGTTGACGAAGTTCGCAAGGTAAATTATTTATAAAAATAAATAACACACGTCATATCCTCACTCTCTCCATCCAGCACAGGGTTCGCCTAAACTTGAGTTCTAGCCCAACCCCGTTCACAAAACGAAGAAATGAGGTTTCTAAACCGAAAGTACTATGTAGCGCATGCACGATACACTGAATAGTGACAAAAATAAGCTGCGTGAGAGTTTATTCGTCTCGGTTCTTGTGCATAAGACCTTGGCGCTCCTCATCTGCGCCATCTTCTTTATCACCAGATGCTCTACGCTCCCCACCACGCCGCTTCTTTGTGGCCGTCTCACCTTCATCGTCGCTTCCTATATCCTCATCGCCGATCTCAAACACGACGTGATCCTCTGCAAGCGCTTCAGGTTCTCGCCGTGAGTTCACGAGTGTGATCTCATCATCCTCTCGGGCAACCGTACGTTGTTGAAGTGTCTCGAGATCATAATCCTCAGCATCTTCATCTTCCTGTGCGATTTCGTCGGACATGGCAAGGCGGCGGTTGTTTTCTGATGGTCGCCAGAGGTACGCAATGCTCCAGAAGGCGAAAAAGTAGAGGAGGGCGAGGTAGCCGTCAAGGAGCCACCAACGGATTTTCCACGATTTCGCTGCGTAATCTACAAATCATATATATTCAGACGGATCAAAAATTGGTTCGCGGACAATGACACACCTTCAGCTAGTCTATCAGAGAATGACATCGAAGAGATAACGAAAAAGGCGGCGATGATAACCACCGTGCCAAGGAGGATATAATACAGGCGTTTGAACATCCTGAGCTTATATCTTTGCTTTCGCACACTGAGCTGCGTTATTGTACCTAAAACAGCTACATGAGAAAGCATGTAAGGTGAAAAAATTGGACATACCATTCAACGAAAACAGGATCCACATCAGGAACGCACTCAACGTAAATGCCAGTGGTATGACGAACATCAACAGTATCAATGCTGACGTCGACTCGAGTTCCAGTTCAACTATACCAACGGCGTACAGTACTGATGACAACGGTCATTACACCTCTGATATCATGAAGAACTGAGCTTACCTCCGAAAACAAAGTGCAGCCCTGCAAGGATCTGACACTTGAGCATTGTGCGCCCCAGAGATTCGCGGACGACGCTGAGCCCCAGTGATACAACAAGGAGCATAAAGAAGGAAAGGGCGTTGCGCCCCGCGTCCAGAATGGCAACTGCATAGGGTGAGCGACTGATTGACTATTCCATTGATTGTTCATACCAACAAAAAGGAAGACGATTGACGCCGCGGTCTTCCCATGTGCGTTGAGGTATCGGTAGTATACTAGGCATGGTCAGTACTGAGGTGAGGTCATGAAAAAATGTCCTACCCCAGTTTGCAACCATTTCGATGACAAGGAACGCAACCAAGCTCGAGAGATAGTACTGAGATAAACATTAGAACACCCAAGGTGTATAGAACATGACGAACCTGAATGGGTAATAGTTCTGTAACATGTTTATAACAGAGCCATGCCCACGCAGAGCCTGCGATGACATATACAAGGAACATGGCGAGGTAAAACTGAGTGTTGTGATGAGAGAGATGACAGCAGACCACGTTTTCGGCTCACATTAACTTTGGGATAGTCGGTCGCAGGAAGTTGTCCATCAAAAGTATTGCGGAAAAGAACGACGCCATTGTATGTAGGATGAGACGGGACATCCGTAGGTGCCTGACGGGCAGTGGGATTCAATACCGTCACGGGCACGATAGCTGCGGCAGAGATAAGTCGGGAGAGACAAGACGATATAACTTGGACTTGCCTGCGCAATAATATCCTGTCTTGCGAACTTGATACTGTATAGGTTGTGAATATGCAACGGTCCCGTACGGGCTCGGGTTTAGGAGGTCACTCGATTGTCGAAGACTGTGGTGAAGGTCTCGTGATCTCCATGGTGAAGTGTAATTATCGGCAGGCGGAGTGGGGTTACCCTCTGAGCTTTCCCACAACCCTGATGAATCTGAGGATGCGCCGCTGGTCTGGTTAAGGGCAACGCTAGCAGTCCAAAAAGTAGTTTGATTTGCGGTGGTCCCGTCATCAGATGAGAATATGAATTTCCCAACATTATCATATGCACAGAGGCCAACTCTGACTGCGTCTGTTGTGCATACGTAGGTCTTCTGCTGGGGGTATAATGGCTGAGTTCGGCAACAAATCATGTTGTAAGGGGTTACTCACGGGTAGGGAGTCATCTGTCGTGGAGGTAGTGACACCAAGATACTTGACATCCTTCCATTCATATATAACCATTGCTACCTGTCCCTGTGAAGAACTTTCATCAAACGTGACTACGACACGTCGTGTAAGTATCTGGCGAGCATATGTAGTGCACGTGCTGCGCACCGTTGATGAAAGTCGACTGGCTTGCCCACATGCCCGAACATACTTGGCGAGAATAGTCCGCGTCTGAGAACTCGAGCTCATATCCAGTTGCAAGGGAGCAAGCAAACAGAACACCGAGCGCGATCGCCTGCAGCTTCGAATTTTGGCGCATCCAGAAAGCGTTTGTTGTGGCTTGTTTCTCATAGGCTTCTCGTCTTAAGTTAGAGTCGACTTTGTCCACAGTTACTGCGCTCAGCTTCAAGTAATTAACCGGGAAGCACTGCTCCACAGCATTAGCGGCGAACCAAAAAATTAATAGTCGTTCACCGCTGATCCCAGTATGCTCGGCGACGAAGAGGACGTTTTTGACAGTGTCACTTGGGAGTCCCCTTCAGCACCCTATCACGCCGATCACACCGTCCAACCATCTGGCCCAGGCTTCAAGCAGAGTACAGCAGGGACAGAGGATGAACGGGGTCCACACGATCCAAAGTGGGAGGGATATCTCATTGTCACTGTCAAAGATCCTGTAAAGGAGCTTGCAGAAACTAAAGATGCATACGTCTCCTACCTAGTCTCGGCGAAGGTGCGTTGAAATATAACTCGAGCTCTTGTGCATAATTTTGAAACATTTGCAGACCAATCTTCTAATCTTCTCTACTCCTAATCCTTCCTCTCGTCGACGATTCCAGGACTTTGTATTTCTGCGAGAGCACCTTGTGAAGGATTTCCCAGCATGCGTAGTACCTGCTCTTCCCGACAAGCACCGGTTAGGTATATATTACCGTCGTAATCTTAATGTTGTCTAACCATGCATAGAGTACCTGACGGGCGATCGCTTTAGCCCAGAGTTTATGGAGCGCCGCAGACTAGAGTATGTATGTGTGGCATGCAGACGCGTTCAATTTCTCATCTTTGACAGCCTGCACCGGTTTCTCGAACGGATATCCCGACATCCCACCCTACAACGTAGTACTCTCGTTCGTGCGTTCTTTGAGTCGACAGAATGGGTACGTCGATCAAGCGCAGTCCAAACACTCCAAACACCCCTAACACCTTCCAGCACGTTCATATGCATCAACATCTCGCACACCCTCCAGGGCCAGAACCCACACCAGGACTCATCGATAACATCTCAGACACCCTCCTAAACGCGTTTGCACGTGTACGCAAGCCCGATGAACGCTTTCTCGATATGCGCGAATCTGTCGATAAATTTGAGGATGGGCTTGTCGTTTGCGAGCGCCTCTGGAACCGCGTCCGTGGTCGTACAAACGGTGAGCCTACCTTGTAACAGCGTGAGGGAGTATCTGAGGCTGAACGAGGTGGCGGTCTTGCTCCCGGCGAAGATCTGACAGCGGATTATCACGATCTAGCCGTCGCCGTGCAGGGACTTGGTTTTCTGGAGTCGGGGATTACAGACCCATTGAGCCACTTCTCAAATACCTTGCTCGAATTTTCTGCATTGCTCAGACATAAGGCATGATGTTTTGATAGCATACGAGTTATATACTCACCCCTTCTTTCAGACTCAAACGACCACTGACCCTTTCCTCGTCCATCTTCATTCACTGCTAACCTACTCTCATGCAAACCGTGCAGTCCTGAAACTCCGTGACCAGAAGCAACTTGATTTTGAGGAATTATCGGATTACCTTTCTGGAGTAACACAAGAACGTGATCGACTGTCTGCCGTTATCTCAGGGCATGCAGGAAGTACCGGGCTGGGGCTGAGTGCATACCTAAAGGACAAAGTGGATTCTCTCAGGGGCGCTGACGATGATCGGAGCCGAGTTGAGAAGATGAGAAAGTTGGATGTCAAGATCAAAGAAGTGCGTGCACCTACTGCGATATTTAATTGTCCGTTTTTTCAACCTCGGAGTTAGCTGCAAGACGCTGTAACAACAGCGCACGAGACATCAGATGCATTCAGTGATGAGACACTGCGAGAGCAGACTATATTCCAATATACGAAGGAAGCAGAGATGAAAGAAATGCTGGGGAACCTTGCAGACGGTGAAATTGAATTTTATCAGTCGGTATGTCGTTCTTTCAATCAGTCTAATACCCGAATCTCATAATTTGGTCTAGGCAATGGAGGAGTGGGAGCGGATTATACCTATCATCCAACGTATACGGGTTGACGTTTAGTGTTCACCAACATGATCTAATGCTTTCATATTCCGTTTGCTGTTATCTCGCACATCATGCAAGGACTTCGTCCGCAATGTATTATTAGTAGTTTAAATTAGGTTATGATCAAGGATGTCAACTAGCTTCGGCGTTTCCTTGTCCTTCAATATCGTGGGCGGAATCATCTGGGTCCTTGGTGGGTTGGAGCTTTTCTTCGGATTCTTGAACTGCAAGAGAGATCTGTGATACTGTGAATGACAAACTTCGATCCTCATCAACGTAACCTGCGTACATTGATGATACCTGTGTCCACTGCCCGAAGGAGGTGCAACTGGGCTTCTTCAGATGCCCCAGAGGTTGTGTGCTGACGATCTGCGGGTACCCATGGTGGGGGTTCCTTTCGAAAGCTAAACTGTCCGTTATAAACATCTAACTAGGATCCTTACATCATCCTTGGAAGCTGAGGGCACTGTATTTTCCTTGAGTTCAAGGACTATTGC